ACTATCAGTATCAGCTGGCATCTAATATATGCATCTGATTTGATGACTGTACACTATAAGTCACTATCTTGTACGCTGATCGTCATGTTACAATATCCTTTCAACTACATCACGGCATATAATTGAAATTAGTACGATGTCAGACATTTGCCTGTTAAGAACTTGCACCCCTAGCACTATAGCTTGTTTGATGAAAAAGTTCATTTTATACTTGCAGTTGCACTCTGATCACTGCTTTAGCCCTCATTCGGTCGTTTAAACCTTATAGCACATGGCTTAGGGACCATCAGTAGGGTTAATCCCTATTGTATTGGGTTACATAACTATGTCTAGGCACGTGACATGCTCCACTGTGGCAATTACAACGTGGTATTTCTCACAACCGTGAAACAATTTCAAATATACAATTCTTATCTAGATTGTATTGCCTTGCACTACATTAATTGAATGTATATCTATATTGCATTTCAGAGAGCAAGAGCAGACGTGGTGGGAAGACTGGTTGCAAACAGCTAAAGAAAAGGCAACACCATTTAGTCTAATTTATGATATCATACTCATGATTTAAATTTTGATATTCATTTTGATAACCGTAATTCTTCCGCTGTCAAAAATTACAAGTTGTTTATTTCATTGCAATGTATATATCTTCAGGTAAATGAAATTCTGCCCACATGACAAATGCCATTAGTTCCAATGAGTTACAGTTAACCAATTTTTTTTGTCTTTTATTTAATTTAGACTACAGAAGCTTATGAGCTAGTTAAGAATGACCTTGAAGAGTTTTCCAAAGTCATGAAGGCTGACACATCATCAGCTGTGGTTAAAACAGCTGACACGATTACAGAGAACATCAAGGTAGCTGTAGCATCAAACACGTTTACCTGTACATTCTCTCATTTAAATTTCGGTGCAGTTCATTGCAATTGAATTAACTTTGCAAAAAGTGTGTAGCCGTCTGTGATAATCTATGTACTTATCTGCATAATGAACCGTGGAGTAATTTTCCATGATAAGTGTTATATTTCGAATCGTCCATAGTCTCTTCTGCAATCTCATACATCCAAACCGACAATCCATTTCACGCAGCCGGAGAATCTGGCAGAGAATTCTTCTGCAGTTTCCGAGCAGCTCAAACACGGACTCCACAATATGCTGAGGGGCCTGACATCTGTGGCAGCTGCGGCGGCCACCAGCGGCACTGTCCAGGACGACGTGGTGGAAATCGCTGCACCTCCTAGTGGGAGAGGTGTCGACGCAGTCTTCAACCCCATGCAGGTATGCATAGGAGATAATCCGTCTCACCTTCCGTCCTCACTTTCGTCTTCTGACCTGATGTCACGTGCTTGTGTTGTGGGGTGAGGTGCAGGTTGTCAACCAGTATAAGGTGATTGGCATGTTTCTGCTGTATAATATCTAATGTTAAATTATAGCTCCTCTTCAATTCGCGTTCTTACAATGATTTCAGGCCCGACTGTACAAGATTCAAGTGAATCCTGACACGTACTGCAGAGAGCCGGAGGGTATTCCAGACGAATTTGAATGCTGGCTGATGACATTTGACCTTGACCTATTTAAGGACGAGGTCTCGGACCTGCTGGTCAGTAACCAGAAGCTACGGTCGCTGTACACACGGCTGGTGAGTTGTTGACTGATCCGCTGATGCGATCTCTCTCTACATTGTAAACCAAAAATTTTTTTTAAAAATCTGGTTGGCAGGTTCACACTGAACTATCTGCCGTGCCACGGACTATCGCTTCTTCATTGTTCAGGTTCCAGCAGTCGTCTCTCACGCGGAGTTTTGGCAACGTTACTTCTACAATGTACATCAGTTGGAGGTGGATGAAATAAGGAAGACTGGCCTGAAGGAAAGAGCGGGAACAGCAGGCATGCAGGAGGATATAGGGTGGGAAGACGATGGTGGGTTCCGTATTGCAGTAGGTCACTCCATCAGTTTGTGGTTGTTTTACAGGCAAGATTTGTGATGAGAGCCATATATAGAAGATGTTAGAAACCTGTAGACCATCTAAAAGGATTAATGTATTCATAATGTTTATCATAACATATTAATATTTTTTGCAATTCTCAAAATGATTTTTTTTTGACACACAGATGAAGAATGGAGCATTGTAACAAATCAGTCGGCTATTCCATCTAATGACGAACCCGCAAAATTGGTGATTGATCAATTCCCTCAACCATCAGAAATGGAATCAATGATGCCAACTGCCAAGAGTGACTGCAGTCCAGTATATTTGTTGTCCAGTGATCTCGAGAGACTGGGAACTGTCGATGATGGATCGGGTGAAGCAAACACAAACACTGCGAGTGTGAGCACAGACAAACCACCTGTCACCAGAAAAGACGCAGAAGTAAACGAGAATGCTTGTGAACGCACATTGACAAGTGAGGCTCAAGTCAACCTCGAAGCGCATACACTAGACACGACCACATCTCACACAACAGTTGAAGTGCCTACAGAGGAGCCAAATGATGCAGAATCCTGTGCACGCGATATTGAAGAAACAAAGGCCCATGAGAGCCTTGTGAGTCCTGCTGACGTGGACGAAGATGCGCGAGAACTTAAGACAAAGGATAAGGGTGACATGGTGGTCGTTGGTAGTGGTGTCTCCTCTGACACGTCGGAGAGCAACCCAACTAAAGGTGAGTTGTTTGGATCATGCCATGCATGAATGTAACACTTGTATGTCAGCGATGTAACTGTATGTCAACTGTAATAGGTCGAGTTGGTCATCAAACATACACAAATTTAATATTCGAGTTCTGTCTCATGGAACCCCACTCAGCGACTTTAAGATCTTAACATTTAATGAGTTATTGCATGCTCATTCACAACGCAACGAGTTATTCAAATAGTGTGTAAAGTAGTCGGCCTTAAAGTGATTACGTCACCGTAAATAGTAAAAAATAAAAAAAACATTTTCACTTTTTCACAAAATATAAGTCATTCTGTTCACTTTTTAAGGTTAAATTGCTGCATTATACTTCTTATTGTATCCCCCACGCCGAAGTCGGCGGGGATACTATGGTTTCATGTCTCCCCAGCCGCCGCCGCCGCCGCCGCCGCC